TATCTTTGATTTTAAAGATATGAATTGAATGAATGAAGCAAACAAAAACAAAAACAAAATCTAATCTTAGACAATAAATCACTGAACGAAAAAATTTGGTAAATTTTCGTTGTTGTTTATATATAATGTGTGTGTATTTGTGTGAAGATTATCATTGAGATTTCCTTTCTTTTCAAAAAAAATTATCATTATCATATGCTTGTCTACAGAATAAAGATGATGATGATGATAATAAGGTTTTTCTCTTCTTTATTTTTTTTCAAAACAAAAATCATGATGAACAATAGAATTGAATTTTTCATTTTAAGCAAAAATTTTCAAAACAAAAAATGTTCTCGATTTCATTGAATATTGGTTGAATGAAAATATCAATATAAATCATCTGACATGTAATAGTGACATTGATCTTGATTATTATTTAACCTATGGCTACCATTAATCAATTAAAATTTAAATCTAAACTTTCAAATAATAATAATTAATTTAATTAGTTTAATGTTAAACAATTGCAAACAATTTATTAATCATGATAAACTATTCGGCTAATTTATTACAAGATTTTTGTTGTTGGATAAACTCTTTTTTTTCGGAGTTTTTCAGAGCATTTTACAAATTTTTCTATTTCGCCAACAAAAAGATAACAAAATTTTGGTTGACAAATATTCATTTCAATGTTTTTTTTTTGTTGCAAAAGAAATTACAATTTAATCGTACACCTGTGTGTGTTTACACACAAACATCTTTCACACTTTTGAATGATTTTTTATTTTATTATTCAACAACAACAACAACAACAAAAAAGATTATAGAAAGAAATTCAATTTCATTTATGTAATAAAATGATTCAAAAAAAAATATTCGAATAACAATGATTGATTTTCAAACAAATAAACAGAAAACTAAATAAAAAATGTTGAATTGAATTGAATTGTAATGCAATGTCGTCATCATTATCATCAGCAAAAAAAAATGTTTACCACAAAATTGTATTTGATCGGAAGTTTAACAAAAATCTTTTCTTTTTTTTGACAAAACAAAAAACATTTAAACGGGCAATTTTCATCATCGTCATCATTATCAATTCCACATTGAAACAATAATTGAACTTTATAATCTTTGCCTGAGAATCTTAGCTTTGTTGTTGTCGATGTTGTCAATCCCATTATCATTATCATTATCATCATACAAATTATCATAATATTATTGTGATGAAAATGAAACAAAACGAAACAAGATATTAGAAACATTAAAAATATAAAATTGGTAGGATTGGATAAATTCAATTGTTTTGATCCATTTTATCATCATCATCATCACAACAATCAATGGAGAGACTATGCTGCATTTGCATATATTGTTTTGGCTGTTTCATTTTATTAGTTTTTGTTTTAGTTTCTGTTTCGTTCTCCCCTTCTCGTTTTAATATGTTATTTTTTTTTTTGTTTCATAAAATTCAAATCAATTGGTTGACAATAATAAAAAAATAATAATAATAATGATCCGAACAACGAAAAAAATTGTTGAAAACATTCATTCAATTTCAATCAATCGACTGAAAAATTGAAAAACAAAAATGGATCAATGATCGAAATGTGTGAGAGACGATGGTAAAATTCCTTTTTTTATCAATTTTTATTTTGTTTTTTGTTTTGTTTCAAGTATGTGTCAAATGTAAGATGAATTGATACATATGAAAATGGAAAACTTTTAAAAACTTTGAAATCATACCAAAAAAAAAGAAGGTGAAGGCTATTTAAAAATTTATCGATTCAGAAAAGGGTGTGAATTGATTCAAAAGAATTGAAACTAAACAAGAATGACTTCTGTAATCTATTCAATTTTTTGTTGCTGTTGTTCTTAATGTTTTAAATTTTCACATGATAAACATTAGAAATCTATTTAGTTCAAACACGTGGCAATTATTTTTTTCTTTTAAAAATTCCATTGTAATTTATATCGAACAAAAAAAAACAAAGCAAAACAAAATATGTAACATATTTACACGAATTGAATCGACAATATTGGCTTTTGTCTTTAGTTAGTTTAGTTCATCATTTACTGCTAATGATTTGTAATTTTTAACTAACTTTAAATGTAAACGTGTAATATATATCGTGTGTATGGTTTTTCCTTCTTTTGTGTGTGTTTTTCTGTTCAAAAATATATTCTTCTTCGTTTTGTTTCGTTTGATTTTGTTGAATTTGAGCACGATTATCGCACGACGACGACTTTCAAGATTCACATCTCATCATCTTATCTTCTTCTTTTCTTTTTTGTTAGAAAAAAACATGAACAATTGAAGCCTATTCATAATATTTGGATTTCTTTGTTTGAATTTGAAAAAATAAAGATTTTATTTCAAAGATATGATCTTCTGTTCTCGTTTTTGTTGTTAAAAAAAATGTTTTATTGTTCAAAGCACGTGTTTTGCATCTTATATTTTCAAAAGTATAGTTTTAATAATAATAATATTAATGAAAAGAATTATCAATTCAGCACATGAAATATTTTTTTTCAGAATCTCGTTTCGTTTCAAACAAATTATCATTTTTGTTGTTTAAATTTTATAATTTTCAGTTTGTCTCGTTTGAAGAAAAATAAAAAATAAAACATGGAAATGTTTCATGTAAAATTCGTATGATTAAAGAGAGAAGAACATTGATTTTTATCACGATTGAAAAAAAAGTCTAAGTTTAAATTGTGTATCATCAATAATAATAATAATAATTATTATTATTATTGTTTTTCTCTAATGGATCAATCATCAATCAATGATGATGATGATGATGATTAATGATGTTATTATTGTTATTGTTTTTTAAAGATTTTAATTTTTTTTTTGCTTTTTCTTACATAATAATAATCCCTGCAAATGTTAACACAAACGTAGTAACAAAATAAAGGTATTGCATCAATAAATTTTATAGTTTTTTCATTCTTTCTTTCTTTTTTTTGACATAAAAAATGATAATCATTTTTTTTTCTCATTATAACAACACAATCATAATGGACAACATTTAAAAATTAATGGATAAATTGAATTGAATTGAATGAACAGTGGATACAGTTTTTATTCATATTAACGATCGCTCTCTCTTGATTTTTGCTTTATCAAGTTCCAAAAATTTCACACAAAAATAAATTCCAAAATGATTTAAAATTATCGCTCTTTTTTCTGTGGTTGATTCAATGAATAATTTTTTTTTTGGTCCCAAACAAAACATTTTGTTTTGGCCAACAGCCATTCAATTATAAGCAACAAAAAAAAAATTTCTCCAAATTATTAGATTATTAAATGAAAATTTGAAATAGTTTTGATAAAAGTGCTAATGGAAAAAAAACTTGAGAAAAATTTATTAATCAACTAATCAATTAAATATATGCCATGGACAACAGCTAACTTATTTATTTATTTATTGGATTTTTTGTCTTTTCAAATGAAATGAAAACAACAACAAAAAAATCAATCAAATCCACATAACACGAATTAGAACAAATAGATAAACGCTTAAATTGCCATTGTTAATCTTGTTATGAATACCACCGGAAAAAACTACTACAACAACAACATAGAAATCAAAAATGTACTTTTGTTTCAACTTCAATGTCAAGATCTTGATTGTATGCTTATTTTATTCTAATTTTGTTTGGCTTTATTTTCATTGATGAAAAAAATTGGATGGGAAAAAAAATTCCAATCAAACAATTTACAACTAACAAGATTTAAGTGAAAAAAAAGACATCTAGACATTTCAGCAAATATTTCAATCATCATAATCCATATTTGTGTGTGTATCTGTGATCACATGATCATGATTTTTTCTTCAAATATTTATTTTTATATTTCATAGAAGAAAAAAAATGAATAATGAATTCAATTCAGGGCGAGGCAATAATCTGAATGTGATTGAAAGTGAAAATTTGAGATACAAAAAAAATAAAATAAAACAAAAACACACACAAACAAACATATCTAATGAGAATTCCCAAAAATAGCCACATTCACACACACACACAAACACCACATTTTTAATAACGGAAAAATCAAACTAAATAATTAAATACAATGTACATAGGTCGTATCATCATCACCATCATCAATGATCAAACATCATCATGTCAATTGATACGCCCAACGATGAATGTCCAAACAAGCCCTATATATTTCTTAGTTTTTTTTCGTGATGGCCTTCATCATCATCATCGAATGATCCAACAAAAAAAAATTTGATTTGATTTGATCAATGAAATTGATTCATCATGAAAATGTATAACAAACAAGCAAACTAAATGAATAAAATATCGAATTTTTTTTTGAATTTTGTTTTTTTTGCTTGGAATTTTCAAATATTCACGAATAATCCTATCGATGATGATGATTTTGCAACCGAAAATAAATGAACAGAAAAAAAACTAACATTATAACCATTTTTTTTGTTCATGATGTATTTATGATTTTCATATATGGTGTCCATTATAATTACGATGATCATCGATTATGTTGGAAAAAAAAATAAAAAAAAACAAGAAAAACATTTGTTATCAAACACAATCGATTCGTATTCGATCACGATCTTTGTTTTGTTTTTTTTTTGTTGTTTATGTTTAGATCGATATCGAAAAAAAAAATAAATTCAATAAATAGTGATCCAGATGTGTTTACAACAACAAAAAAATGTAGATTATTATTATCATCAAAAAATAGACTTAACAAAGAATATATTATGATCATGATGATGGCCAAAAAAAAAACAAAACAAACAATAATGAATAATGAATAAAATCAATCATTCGTTGGATAAAAACAAAAATAACAGAACAGAACAAAACAATGATTAATCCACCAATAATAATAATGACATTGGATTTCGAAATGAAAGGCGGTTCACAATAATCAATTTGGATAAAAAATGAAACAAAATAATTTGCATTTGTTCCAGAATTCTGGATATTGGCCAAAAGGTGGCTGTAGTGGTAGCTCTTTTTTGGATTCATTTTTTTGTTGTTTAATATTTGGCCTAATAAGTATCCAATTCAAAATGTATACATTTGTGTACTCACACATGGATGCTTTACAATATCAACAAGTGGTAAGTTTGTTTTTTTTCGGTTAATTTCAAGCCAAATGCCAAATGATGATTTTAAACAAACAAAATTTTTTTTGAATCTTTTCAAATTTGTTGATTTTTTTTTGTTCTTTTGTTGAAATATATAAATAGATAAAAATAATGGCCGACAATCGACATGGTCGATTTGTCGATCATTCAAATTCAGATGATCTATTGTATTGGTTTCAAAAACAGCAAACATTTTTAACTGAACCTGGTGCAACACATATCGGTATTACCGATAATGATGATATATTTATTATACGAGATTCATATGCGTGTATTGATTTATATGATCGAAAACAGATTAATGCTTGGTCAACGACAAATGATATTAATGAAAATGATAATGATGATCTTCGTTTGCCTATTCAAACCATTCCAATTGTTCGACAAATAAAAGTGATCACATATCAATATGTTAAACCTATCAAACAACATTCATCATTATCATATTTAGCTTTATTGATCGAAAAGAAACAAACAGTTCGTAGACGACAGATTTTGATCTATACGAATTTTCCATCAAAAAATTGCTCCAATTATGAACATTTTAGACCTGCTGGTATATGTCGTAATATCAAAAAAGATATCGATTTTATTGAAACTAATATTATTATCGAAGATGATGAATATTCGGATTTACGTACAATTGCCTGTTGTCCAAACGATGGCCATATTGCTATTGGATTGGCTAATGAACCGAAAATTTTGATCTATGAGCTTATTGTTGTTGATCAACACCAATCTATTATCGATTTTATTAAAATGAAACTTATTCAAATCTCATTCATAGCCGATATTATTCGATTTAATTCGGGTTATTGTGCCTTTCTATCCTGTAATCATGTTCAAATTATTTGTATAAAAGAATTCAAAAGAAATTCAAAACATGAAGATACAATTATTAACGACAAACAAATTTATTATAATAATCTTATGGTGAAATCTGGTCAACATGAAATATATGGATCAATGATGCCTAAAGCATGTCCATTCAAAATTTATAGTGAAGGTAATCTGAATAAATCGAACTATTGTCACGTGTATTGTCGAACATTTACGACTTCATCATTATCAATGGATTCGATTCCATTGAATCGTCCAATACATCATTCATCATCGTTGATTGATGTAAAAAATTATTCAAACAATAATGATAAAAATCTACAATATCTTAGCTATCAGATTGAAATGGAAACCATCGATAATGACATTATAATTGTTTACATTCTATGGAATGATCATATATGGGTTCATGCTATCTGTTCACATCGAGATCCGTTGCGTTTGATTCCGATATCAATCATTAGTTTTAATGGACGATTTGTAAATTGTTTCGCTATCAACCTTCGACATGATGTCATTTATGTATTAAGCAATGATAGCCTTTCTATCTATGTTAGTCATGTACATAATTTTGTTACAAAATTTCAATCAAATACGACAAATCCATTCATCAAACGAATGTTTTTGATTGGCAAAAATCAATTTTTTGGTGCACAATCAATCATATTAGGCGCAACATTTGTATTGTTAGCCTGTATGCCAAGTACGGACATATCGACCATTTATCTACTGGATAAACCAACCATTCGTTCAATACAAGATTGTTGTCGCCATTCAATACGACAAATAAATATTAGCGAAAATCACGAGAATCATGAAGATGTTCCTGTTCCGTTGAAAATTTTGGCCGAAATTTGTTGGAATCCAACTACAATCAAAAAACAACCATATGATCGAAGTTTAATTGATCGATTAATTGGACAAACAATTCGACGAATCGTATCCATTACTAATGATGATATTTTGATTCTACGTCGAAAAGTTTTGGCTCGATTATTGAATTTGTTAACCGATTCTATGTATTGCCCATTAATCAATTCGTTTGTTGATGAATATTTTAAAAATTTTATTACAAACGATGATAAGATGATGAACGTTGAACGTTCGAAAACTAATACCAAATTACCAATAATTGATCCTAAAAATGTAATTGTTGATCATCATTGTTTTCATTATTTTTCAGCTATACCGACAACAATGTTGATTGATGTTGAAAACGATACATTACCTTTGTATACAAATGAATTGAATCGAAATGATCGAATATATCAATTTTATTATTATTTATTTGGCTTAATAAGATTCAATCTACAATTTCATCAATTATCATCATCAATTAATAATGATTTGAATTATTGTAAACAATTATTTGCCGAATTACGATATGAAATTGAGCGACAATTTTTATGATTGAATAACAACAACAAACAGCAACGCCTCCTAACGATCCAGATTGTTGATCATTATTTCAAAATAATTTATTGTCCTTGAAAATATGTCCTTATACCTTTTTCTACATTGAATAATACTTCACCATTTCAGTCGACGAAAACAACGACGTCAATGTTTATCAACATTCGAACGATACATGTTAATATTAAATATTATTTTTTTTTCTAGTCTTGTAGATCGCAAAATACTCAACACGTTGTTTTTTTAAATAATTTTTCATTACACATTTATTTGGTTTCGTTTCCAATTTTTATTAAAATTTTTACATTTTTTAATTAATTAAATCAATTTTAAAAAAATGGCACCTAAATGTGTACATGCTGCAGTTGGTGCATCCATATTGAATTGTAATTTTATACGAATACGTGAAGAATTGAAAAAATTAGTCGATGCCGGTATCGATTTTGTACATCTAGATGTAATGGATGGTAATTTTGTTGATGATATTACATTTGGACCATCGTTTGTTCGCAATTTAATTCTTGATTTTCCGTAAGCATTGATTAATGTTTGATATATTTTTTTTTGTTGAATTTCAATAATAATTTGATTATAGTGAAATTACATTCGAAGTTCATATGATGGTGGAACATCCTATGAAATTTATTGAACCAATGGCAATGGCTGGTGTTAGTCGCTATATATTCCATTATGAAGTGACCAAAAATAGTAGTCCAGATTATAAATACAGTGTTGAAGAAATAATCGATTCGATACGATCATCAAAAATGGAAGTTGCATTGGCTATTAATCCGGATACACCAGTACAAGTAGTCGAACCATTTTTATGTCTAGTTGATTCCATTTTGATTATGACTGTACGACCGGGTCTTGGTGGACAAAAATTTATGGCTAATATGATGCCAAAAGTGCAACATTTACGTTCATTAAAACAATCATCAATGGCCGATATTGAATTAGATGGCGGTGTATCACCGGATAATACCGATATTTGTGGAAAAGCCGGTGCTAATCGAATTGTTTGTGGTTCAGCATTGTTACGATCAACAAAAAAATCCGAAGATATACTTAAAATGCGTCGTGATCTATACTCAACAATTGATTAAATGATTATTTTAATTACCAAATTTTTCTAAATTCCATAGCTTTTTTTAAATTAATCATTAATCTTCCTTTCTTTGCATATCAATTTATTCAACAGCAAAAAAAAATTTATACAAAATAAAATAAAAACTTGTTTGACGTAACTCAAAAAACTAATAAGTGTTACAGCTCTTGATCCATTTAATATTTGATAAAATGTCAACATTCTTATTGTCAACGTATACGTAAGAATGTGGCAGTGGAAAATTTTCCGAAATTATGAGAAAAAAATTCGAAAATATGAAAAGAATCTTTCCGGTAACCATGATGAAAGACGACAACATAGTTCATGTTTCTAAATGGTTGGTTGCTAGCACCACGCAAACCGTGTTGATTGTTGTTCTATTTGTGTGTTGTGTGTGGCCAAGTTGTGGCTTTTTTCTGTTGTCCTTCGAAAGTTAAAAAAAAAGAAAATTCATTCGATCGATATCATTTAAATTATTGTTAATATACATTTGAACCAGAAAAAAAATCTTGGTGAAGATTGTGCAAAGCTATTTTTTTATCTTCAAAGCTGATGTTCACTTTCTCTCACACATTTTCAAACATTGATTTGATAAAGTCTCATTTTTCCAAAGATTTAGTTCAACCCGGTGCATAAGTATTTTTGTTCAACGAAAAAATGGCAACAAAACCAATACTGCGATCACGAGAAAATTTGATTGATGATAATGATCATGAAGGTAAACAGCTTCGTGGTCTTCAATCGTATGAAAAATCTACATCAATGGCGGGACGATTGAATACAATATTTCTTGGTCCACCTGGTGCCGGTAAAGGTACACAGGCACAAATGGTTAAACAACGATATGGTGTTTGTCAATTGGCTACTGGTGATATGTTACGTGCCGAAATCGCATCCGGTTCTGAGCTTGGTAAAAAAGTCAAATCCATTATGAGTGAAGGTAAATTAGTGGATGATCGATTGGTTATCCAAATGATTGAATCAAATATCGATTCACCGGCATGTGCTCGTGGATTTTTATTGGATGGTTTTCCTCGTACCGTTGAACAAGCCAAAAAAGTAAAAATTATTTTTAATAATAATTTGAAAATAATTTTATAAATTTCTTCAATAAATAGCTTGATGAATTGCTTGAAAAACGTAAAAATCAATTACATTCAGTGATTGAATTCAAAATTGATGATTCTTTGCTCATTAAACGTATCACTGGTCGTTTGTTGCATGAAAAAAGTGGACGTACTTATCATGAAGTATTCAATCCGCCCAAAATTCCAATGGTGGATGATGTAAGTTTTAGCAAGCATAATTAATTGATAATTTGAATTATATTGTTTAATCAATAGATAACCGGTGAACCATTAAAACGACGATCCGATGATAATGAAAATTCATTGAAAACACGATTGATTGCCTATCATCAGCAAACATCACCATTGGTTCAATTCTATAGTGCCAAAAATATTTTGTCCACTATTGATGCATCGAAAAAAACTGATCAAGTTTTTGCTGCCATTCATTCGATATTTGATTCAATTTTAAAACAACATGGAACGATTGGTTCTTCTAAATGAATACAAAAAAAAATCCACATGTCTCCGCAATGTTATTTAAAGTGATTTTGAAAAAAAAACTGCAAACGGAAAAAAATGATTCTTGTCATATCAAATTAATTTTTATGTTTTTTGAAATTTGTAAATCAATCAATCAAAAAAAAGCCAAAGCTTTTTCACAAAAAAAAAAATTTTTTGTTTCAAACCAAAACAAAACACACAAAAAAATAAAATATTATAATCTGATGATTATAATTGCAATCGAATTCCAATCAAATCGATTGATTTATCCCAATTTTTAGTTAATAAATTTTTGTTTTTTCTAATCTAGTGGTTTGTGATAATTATATGTGTGTATGTGTGATTGTGGTCGGTGGTAGCGGCCATTTCATTTCATATTTTTTTTTTTGGAATGATATACGAGCCAAGCCTATTATTGCATCGTATTTCGCTTTATACATATGCTATGTGTCTATATTACATAGACTCACACGCCACTTGTTGTTATTATTATTATTTTGGTTGTTGTTTAGTTTTGTCATGTTCATTTTGGATCATTTACAATCAATTAATCCATCATCATCATCATCATCATCATCATCATTATTCATTACATAACATTCACGTTTTTCAAATGATTTTTGTTTTGTTTTTTTAAATGAATGATGGCTTTTGAACATCAACCTGGAGCACCTATCGAATGTCTTTCAGTATGTTGAATATAATTTTATATAATGATTTGTATATAAAATTTATATATTTTCAACTTATAGCTTATGATACCTTTGGAAAAAGATGAAGTTTATAATCCGGAAACAAAACAACGATTCTATTATTCTGGATTCTCTATTGGTGGAGGTATTGATCAAGATTATCGTCAATCACCACATAATTTTCCCGATCATGGAATCTATGTTACAAATGTACAATATGAAGCACCAGCATATCGTGCTGGTCTACAATTTGGTGATAAAATACTTGGCTGTAATGGAATGGATTTTACAATGTGTACACATAAACAGGCAGTAAATTTTATGCATACACGTAAAGTGTTAAATTTATTGGTTGCACGTCGCGGTGTTACATCACCAAATAATTGAATTTTATTTTATTTTTTTGAAATGATTTTTATTCAAAACAAAAATTCCATCCTCATCATCATTATATGTCTTTCATCATGTTTATTTTTGGTTTTATTCAATTCTGGGAAATTTTTATCATCACCACTACTACCATTGTGATCCAAAAACAAAATCCCCCCAAAAAAAAAAATCAATTTTTAGAAACTCAGTGTAGCAAATTTTTGTTGTTGTTGTTGTTGATGTGAAACAATGTTCTAATTGTCATAATATGTATCAAAATCTTTGACTGAAAAAAAACTTATACGAAACAAAAACAAGAATATAGTCATCGCACATTTTTAATAGAATAGTGATTCTTCCAAACGTATTAAAAATACGCGCATACTCTTAATAAATAAAATTATAAATTTTCTATATCAAAAAAAATTGTATTATAGTTTATAACAATCATCTTTGCTTCTATGCTTGTTGTTGTTGTTATTATTATGGATGTTTATAACAGAAACATATTATAAACACACTTTTTGTTGTTGTTGTTTCTCTTTTTTTCCCTTTAAATCATTTGTTTGTTTCTGGTTAGTTCTGTCCAAAATTTTAGTTTTTGGTTCACAATGTGTCAACAACGACAAGATCTACAGATCATAGAAAAATGATAAGGATGATGAGGAGAAAAATAAATTGAACATTTACAGAATTTTTCCAAAACCATAGCTAAACATCATAGTATCCATCCATCAATCTATCCTGTCTATAATAAGCAAAAAATACAAAATAAATTCATCAAAACTAATAAATATTTTTGTTTTTTTTTACTCTCTCGATTTATCATCGGATTTTCTTTCATTCGTTTCGTTTTGCTGTTTCGGATATACACAGGGGAAAAAATATATAATTTTACACACGCCTACCTCCACCCCCATTTGTCTATTCACTCGCCTGTCCTGTAAATATATTTTCAAGTGTGCATTTGTTTCAGTGTTTTCAGATAATATATTACCCAAGACACGCGCAGTATCCAAAAAAAAAGAAAAAAAATTCTACTACCAAATAGCCACTCGGGGTATTATACAACAACAACAAAAACCCGAAAAACAACAAACAAACAAACAAACAATATTTGTTAATCGAATGGACAATAAAAAAAACAAATAAATGAAAAAAATATTCAGAAACCAACATCCATTTATATTAAACTGAAAATTGTTTTCAACGAAAAAAAAAAATCTAAATTGTTTAAAAAATACTATGTGAAAAAAGGGTTAAACACCCTTCTGTCAGTGAGTGTGTGTGGATGTCTTTTTTTATATTTAAAAATTTCATCTAAAATTGAAATTCTTATCAAATGATAACAACAACAACAACAATATATCGATAGTAACCTACGATGTTTAAATTTATTATTATGAGAAACAAAAATGTTTGAGCAGCAAAAATAATAAACGATATTTCCAATCATTATCATCATCGTTTATTGATGTTTATATGTAATCAATTGTGCCAATTAAATTAATTTAGTAATTTGAGAAAAAACAAAAAGATTAATAAATTTCTTAAATCCAATCCGATCATCATTTGTGTTTTCTGTTGGATTGAAATTAATGTTTTTTTTTTTGTTCAATCCTATTTGATATTTGAGCCTATGTTTTAAGTAAAATCAATCTATTTTTTACAAATGAATCAACAACATCAACAACAATCAAATATAATGGGTGGACAGAATACAGCAACAACAATTCACCACCACCAGCAACAACAACAATATATAAAGGTTGCATCACCTTCAGCACCATTACCATCACCAATGACAATAAATAATCCATTATTAACATCTTCAATTCAACCACCACCTTTATCAACAGCAATAACAACAACGACATCTTCATCATCAACAATTCCGGGTCAACAACAACAACCAGCACAAAAAAGACATTCGATTGGTGGTGGTGGTGGTGGACGTGCCATAATGCCAACAAGTCAAATTGAAATGACAATATCATGTCGTTCATTAATGAATCGTGACATTTTATCAAAATCTGATCCATTTTGTCTAGTATTAATGAAAGATTCATGGCAGGAAAAATTTTTTGAATTAGGACGTACAGAAACCATACAAGATACATTAAATCCAGAATGGGTAAAAAAATTTATAATTAATTATAATTTTGAAACGGTACAAAAAATTCGTTTTGAAGTATGGGATCAAGATCCGGATGATAAAGAATTTCTTGGTCATCATGAAACAACATTGGCTGAAATTGTTTCATTTGCATCAAGACAATATATTCGTACACTTTCGGGTATGCCGAATAAAAATTCCGGTACCATTATTATTGTAACAGAAGAGCTATCTAGTTGTAAACAAATTGTTCAGATGCATTTTGCAGCTGAAAATCTACCTCGTTCGATTTGTGGTTTATTTCGTCCGGATCCATTTCTAGTCATTTCACGTTCAAATGAAGATGGTACATTTTCGGTGGTTATTAAATCAGAACCAGTTCGATCATCAAAATGTCCATTATGGTTACCGATTACGATGCGTGTTCGTACCCTATGTAATGGTGATTATGATCGCACAATCAAAATTGATTGCTATGATTCACGATCCAATGGTAAACATGTACTTATTGGCACCTGTTTTACATCACTCCGAGAACTATGCACAACACAGTCATCGGTAACTGCACCGGTCTCATCTAATCGTAATGTTTTTGTATCATTAGCGGCTAACAAACGATTCTTAATGCAACCGCCAAAAACTCCGAGCCATCATCATCATTCATCAACTAGTTCATCACCATTTACGTCTGGAAATAAATCCGGCAGTAATCGCGTCAATTCAGGTAATTTTGATAATATTGCCACCGGTACAGAAACCGGTAAACGTAAAGCAACAATCATACCTGTGAATGGTTTGGATCAAGCATCTGATAATTGTGGTCATCTGATATTGAAAGAGATAACTGTTACTGAAGAGATTACATTCATCGATTATATTAAATCGGGAACACAAATGCATTTTGCCGTTGCTATTGATTTTACCGCATCAAATGGACCGCCAAGAGATCCACATTCATTACATTTTCTTGATATTTTTGGTGGAAAATTGAATCCATATGAAATAGCACTTAGAGCTGTGGGTGAAATTATTCAACAATATGATTCTGCGGGTATGTTTCCTGCATTTGGTTTTGGTGCTCGTATTCCGCCTAGCGGTGAAGTGTCACATCAATTTGCATTAAATGGCAATCCATCACATCCATATTGTTCAAGTATATCGGAAATACTTTCCCATTATCGTAATTGTCTTGCCAATGTAACACTTTATGGTCCAACAAATTTTTCTTCCGTCATACATAATACGACACAGATTGCTAGCAAATTTCAGGATGGAAAACATTATTTTATTTTGCTTATTATAACCGATGGTATTATATCGGATATGCATCAAACAAAAAATGCCATTATTGATGCATCTAAATTACCCATATCCATTATTATTGTCGGTGTTGGTAATGCCGATTTTGCTGCAATGGATGAATTAGATTCTGATGATATACGTCTATCAGTGAATGGTCGTTATGCTGAACGTGATATCGTTCAATTTGTACCATTAAATAAATTTATTTCAAAAACTGGACCGTACATTCGATCACAGGCTGATCTTGCACGTGAAGTTTTAGCTGAAATTCCTGATCAAATGACTGGTATGAATTTTAAATTTAATTCTTTTTATAAAGTTTAAATTCTAATTACAAATAAAAATTTCTTACAAACAGGCTATATGAAATCAAAAGGATTTATACCAAATCTGGATGTTTTAAAAAATGAAGACAACAATAAAATCGATCAATAAATAATTTTTTCAGGTTTTTTTTTTGGATTGATCAAATTCATTTTATTTCATTTTTTTCAAATTGTTTTTATCCAAGATGTATAATCTCTCAATCTACAATCTATCTTTGTCTTGTCATCAATTTGTGCATAAGTTATAATATTTATCATACAAACAAACACTAAATCACTAAACATCTATACAACTATTTAAAACACATTTAAAATATCTGCATTAAAATTAAATTTTTGAATCAGAATAAATTCCGATGATAATTAGTTTTTTTTTTTGGTTAAATTTTTTTCGAATTTGATTTTTTATCAAACTTGTTTCTTGTGTTGGCTAAAATATGATGCGTATTGATGTGAACAAATTTAAAATAAAATTTTTTTTTATTTTATTCTTTGTCTTTGTTTTTTGTTTTTTTTTCAATAAAATTATTTCCTGTAAAGTTTTCCCAAATAGCAACATTCATTTTTTTTCTTTTCTTAATTTATTCGGGTTTTCCCATGAAACTATTGAACATGTTATACATGAACTCGAATGATGATCATGATAAAGATCATCATCATCATCATCACACTACATACACACCATACATACACATCACACACACACAAGATAATCAATCAATATTCAATAAATGCAATAAAATTAAAAAAAAAAATGTTTAGCCAACATGAAATCATTGATCTCGAATCATCATTGTCAATATCAAATTACGTACATTAAGAGTTTTTTCTCTCTTTCTCTCTTTATGTTTGATTATTTTTCAAGTCCATATATTTTTTGGATTATATTGAAAAAAATCGATCGATAATGATTTGGAATTTTCTGGTTTTTTTTATTATTTATTGAAAATGAAAAAAATATTTTGATAAAATAATAGAAGAAAAATATTACTAAAAATCGATAGCGTATAATTCAATCGGTATTAGTTACGATTGTTGATTTGGATTTATTTTCAAATTCCATAATAAATGATGGTAGCTGTTCAAAATGTTTACGATTAATATGACCTTGAAGCTGTTGTAATCGTTGTATGAATTGTACTTTATTCTTTAGGAATTTACAATGAAATGTTTTTAGCCACCAAACATAAAGCCGATTGAATACGGATGGATGTATTACGTAAAATGATTTCAATAAATTCTGATGTTGATATGATATAAATTCATATAAACGTGATATTAATTGTGTTTTTGGTGGTCGATCATTTACATTGACATTTGATTCAATATTATCGACCATTGTATGAAAATAAACAACAGAAAATTTTCTTCCTTGATGACAAATTTTATCCAACATCTTTACAAAATGAACAATAATTTGATCAAAATGACCGTCCAATTCGTTATGATAAAGATTAGCCAATTCTCGACCGATTATAATAAGAACAGAATCTTTATCACCGCCATCTGTAGTAATTGTAGAGATATAAATACATTCTTGTAGCTTATCACGAATCGTTTCCGACAATTCTTTTTCTTGTCGCCGTATCTTACGCAATAATCGTTCAAATTTCAATTGTCGTTTATGTTCGATAAGCATTAGTTGATCCTGTTGATCATAATCATCAAAATTGTGCAGACTTTGTGTGGCTGTTGATGAATGATAATAATGTTGTTTGCGTGCAAATGAAGGCGATGATGGACAAGTCATGCTTTCCATTGAACTATAATGTTCTTGTGAATGATGATTACCTGCATGAAATAATGATGTAACATATGATGATGAACGTTTCATTGGTGATGTAGATGATGATGGTGAATGATCAAATTCCTGTTGATATTTCAATTCGATTAAACGTTCACGACATTCATCGATATTGATCTCACTTCCAGTACCTTGACCATTAGCATCAGTTGAATAGCTTGATGAATATGAAAAGCCACCAAGATCATCTCCACTATCATCTAATCCAGAATCATTAATTTCTTGTAAACTTTTTATTGGATTTTCTTGAATACGTATTGCTCGTTCCGGTATGATTGGTTCACCCATTGGGCCACCATTATTAGTTGGTAATAGTGATGATTGCATTTGTTCTTCTTGTTGATTACGTGAAAAATATAATTTCAAAACCGATCGATAAAGATCATATTCATGTTCATTTTGCATACACAATATTATTGTATCGAATGCATCCGGATATGATTCCATAAATCTTCGTATAACACGTATACCAAGATGAATGCCATCCAATTCTGGATAATGATGTTCCATTAATGCTAGATTACCAATAGCTAATATACGAATATTATAATGTTTAGCAGCTTGTAGTACGTGTAGATAACAATTGAATAAAGCAGTTTCAGATGCTGTATGATATTTGCATTTATAATGAGGACTAGCCGTATGAATTATATAATTGGCAGCAATTGAATATCTATTATACAAAAAGAAAACAAACAAACAAAAAATTGTTATTTTTAGCATTTCAATCAAAAAGGATTATCAAATTAAATCAATTAAGCCCTCTTACCCTTTGGTTATTTTAATAGATCCAATCGGACAATATTTTAGTTTATTATAAAGAGTTTTACGAAGTTCTGGACCGGCATGTTTGTACAATGCATTTGTTAATGGATTTGAATTACGTTCAAAACGTTCATTTGTTGGATGAACAATAGCATCCACTTTTAATCGTAACATTGAACTTGAACAACCATTCCAGAGAATGATTTTTGAATTTAAATGTTCATTCATTTTGAATGTAACAACTTTCAACGACGATTTTGTTGATTGATCAATATTTTGGATCAAACATTGTTGATCATTGATTTCTGATTGAATAAAATCCTGTGACCAAGGTGTTAGCATCGACAATGGTAATCGACAATGACAATTACTATGACCAATAGTTGTCGTCGTTGTTGTTGTCGAAGTTGATGATTCTAAATCAATAAATGATGTAGCCATTTTTTGAAATAACGGTTCGCAAAAAAAAAACAAATTTCAAAAATTTTTAAAAGAAAAATAAATATGAAAGCAACATTCAAAAAACGAGACTGACATCGATTTCCAATTATATTTATCGTATTTATATATCATAATGAATCAGTCATTCAGGACAGCCAGCTTTTCAATCAACAGAGAAAAAAGCAGTGATTCCGTACTATATTGAAACAAAACAAAACGACAAACAAAAAATCCCAATGACAACATCATCATCATTCATCATTATAATGTTCATTATAATTCAATCTTTGATCACCATATTTAATCAATCAATCAATAGGTCTTATTATGATTAGATAAGTAATAACAACCAAAAAAAAAAGAAAAGAAAAAAATCTGCTCGAGATGAGAATTAAATATCAGAAAAGGAAAAAAAAATTTGGCTCGAAAACAAAGTCCGACATTGGTTTTTCTTTTTTTTTCTTTTCTTCTCATTTATTGCTTTTGATTTCTTTGCGAATGACGATTGAAATAAATTCCAATTTATCGGTATCGTGTGGCAAACAAAAAACAAAGCCGATTATTTGAAAATGTATTTAGAAAAGATATGATGTTTAGTGAAAGAGAGAGAGAGAAAAAAAAGCTTCTGCAGTGAATTGCAATTCGAATTATTGGGCGCGAGACTTGTACAATTAACAAATAAATAACTAAATAATAATTTAACTTTGAAATCAATGAGAACAAAATATCGATCTTTTTTTTCATTCTCGAATCGATTTGAAGTGAATCGAAGTGTAATAAATTGTGAATTTCACCTTTTTCCTTGACAAATACAACTTTACAAGATAAAATATGAAAACAATTATAAATGATGTTTTAATTTGTATTCGAAATTGTAAACATTAATTGATAATAATAAACATTGAATGTGAATGTAAAACGGATTTTAACCCTTGTTTATCGTCATCAATATAAATTGTATGTGATGAACAACAAATCAATGACGAAAATTGGATTTTTTTTTTCAATTTATGATAATGTTGTTCATTGTAAATGTAATAAAATAATTGGCCATCAATCAAACTTGAAAGAAGAAAAAGAAAAAGAAATTTTTTTTTGTTCTGTACCTAAGTAAATGTACGGTTTAATTTTTGTCAAAATTATTTTATTAGATAAAAAAAACATAAAATAAATCAACAAACAAACAAAATTTCTGGTCTATAAAATGAATTTTTGAAAAATATAATTTGTTCTAGTTTAAATAAATAAAATGGATTGATCAATATAAATAATAATTAAAAAGATTATCCAATCTATTCGATCAATATATTTGTTTCAGATAGAATTCGTTGTAAATAAAATGGTCGAAATGCATAACCATTACCGGTATAGAATTTTGATTGAAATTCAACCCAATGTAAACGTAATGCATGTAAAAATGCGGATAATCCTTCCATAACAACCAATATAACAACAGTTAGTACTGCCCAAAATCCGAATGAAAAATAAGTAATGATAACACGTACGATAAGATTAGGATTATCGTTTGCAAATCCTGCATGCATAACCATTGTCCATAGTACTTCAGATAGTTGACTATGAGCTAATGATAATGCCCATAAACGAAGATAGGATGCTGTATGTGATACGGAACCAAGACAATATTCGATTGTATGTATTGCTTGATAGATATAAATATCACCAGTACTATTCTCATCTTCATTATGATGACCATTATCCTGTTGTTGACTAGTTGATGCTGTTGATTCTTCAATATTAGGTGATCTTTGTCGACGATTTGTAAAAAATACTTTGATTGTTGGCTTGATTAGTAACATAATCGGAACCTGTATCAATGCCAATAACAATAATGTTGTCTGTATTTCTTTTTTATGTGGATACCATGGATTAAGATATTTAGTTTCCGGTGCTTGTTCATTCGGATATTTCATCAAAAACATATTAATAAAATCAATAAGAATAGATGGTGCATTAGCCGGTGGTGACCAAATCTTTATCCATTTGACAAATATCAATGCAATCATATAGCCAAATAATGACAATAAAAATATTATTTGCGGTATAAATTCAAATAAAATTGATGTCCAATTTTTTGTATTAAAATGATTACAAAATGAAATCATTACACCGAAAAACATCTGAGTGACACCCACAATAACCGAAAGTTTCATTTTAAATGAATTTAAGAATAAAATTTTGTTCGATGATATTTGCCATGCAGGATCAATTCCGTATGGATATGATCGATCACCTTTTGGAATGTAGAATTGGGAATTTTTATCGAATACAGTGTTATTATTTTTATCTTCATTTGTTATGATTAGATTGTCCAACATTTGAATTGCTGGTGGATTTGCAATAAAACTTGTACCAAAAAGATTATAACCTTTGGCAAAAATATCATTATAGATGGAGCCAGTATAGATTGAAAATAAACCCATCAAAAGAATGATGTAACGTCCATCAAAAAATGTGAGCCAAATTTCATTGTTACTTTTGCCTTTAAGTCGTCGTTCATATAGAACCATCCATAAACCAAACAACATCATTAAAAATCCATGACCAGCATCGGCAAACATCATGGCGAATAAAAATGGAAACGTAATGATCGTATAAGGTGCTGGATTCATTTCACGATAAGTTGCAATACCGTATGAATCAACAATATTTTGAAATCCTTGTGTAAAACGATTCAAACGAAAATATGTTGGTGGCGTACTTGTTGTTGACACCTTTTCCACTACAGCTTGGCCAAGAATACCGGCACGATCATTGATTTCCTGTACGATACCGTTAAGTAAATGATAATCACTACGTGCACACCATCCTTCAGCAAGAAAACCTTTTTCAGTTTTTTGAAACATGTTCATCGTTGTGAATATCGCACGAAATTTGGTCACCTGTATTTTCCATGTTGGAAAGTGTTGTGGTTTTGCAAGAGTAGTCAATATTGCAAGATATTGTAAACGTGTTTCTTCGATAACCAACTGAATGTCAGTCAAATTTTGTTCAACTTTTGTACATAATCGTCGATAATGATCTTCATCATCGGGCAACGGATATTGGGATGCATGAAAACCATCGCAAATTTTCTTAATTTTTCCAAACAATTTATCACCTTGACACATGATAAGAAAAATTTTTTTCTGTACAAATTCTTCGGCTTTTGCATCATCGATCGCATCGTCAACATCAAAAAATTGTATCAACGCATTCTGACCACAAACACGCCAAATTACTTTACGAAATGAAAGTGCTTTTTCGGCTCTCAATAATCCAGTAACAGTATGTATTCGATTACATTCATATGCTTGTTGAGATTGTTTAGGAATACCAAACGAATTGTCAGGTTCTTCTAGATCCAGAGCCTGATTTTGATTGGCCATCATATTGGAATCGGTCATTGGATATTGTCCATTAAACGATGATTGTCGCTGTCGACGTGTTGTTTCAAGTAATTGATTTGTTTTTGCCAAAATCATTGACATTTCTACTAATTCTGATCGTTCTATTCGTAACGAATATAGATGTTCATTAATTTCACGTAAATCGCTTTCGAACTTTTCAATCTGATTTTCTAATGCTATCACTTCTTTTAATTTTGGTATGGCAGGATCATCTGTTGGCTCGATAATGGGAAAATTACTTTTCAACATTTGTTGATACAGATAAATTAATTTTCGTTGAATTTCGCCAATATGTTTAATTTCATCCACATATTTACGTTGATAGGCATTTAGATCGCCATTTAGATCACGAAATTCAACGATTCCTTGAGTAAAATATTTATAATAGAAAACAAAAATAACAATACAAAAATCATTATCTGATTGATGAGCAACACAATGAATAAGTTACCTAATTCACCAAGACGACATGTAGCTTGAAATGCAACATCTGATCGTAGAAATAGCTGACATAATAACATTTCTTCCGAACGAAATACACCGGAACATGGCTGCCGTTTTGATTCTTTTGATGATGATCGATTTGTGGAATTCATTTTTCGATTCGTCCTGTTTGTTTGTTTTGGTTACTTTCTCGATGTTTTGTCAAATAAATAAATAAAAATACCAAAGAAAGGACAACTTACAACCAAACACACACAAAAAAATAAATGCAATCAAGGTTTTTTTTTGTATATTTAAAACGCAATCAATCAATCAATTAGATAAGAGGCAATCAAATTTTTAAAAAATAAAAAATTTTGAAATTCACATCCATGAACAAATCAATCAAACTCAAGTGATTGACCAAAGTTCTTTATCTCAACCACAATTTGTATGTGTTGTTTGGTGTGTGTGCAGGTGGAGTGTCTATGGCCTAATGAATGGAAAAAAATACATCATACAGGTAAGATGGAAAATATGATTCTTTTTCAATCATTTCCTTTGTATTTCTCTTTCTCTCTTTTTATATTTATTAAATTTACAACAAATCAGCAACAATTAGTTTTTTTTGTTTTGATCGATATTGATTACTGATGATTACTGATGATGATGACAGGTTTTCAATCAATCCGACTGATTGCTGAGTAGATAATAATATAAGTAATAATATTTTTAAATACTTTACTTTATCTAATTATTGTCGTTGATGATGATGATGATGATGATGTTTGTGTGTATTTCATTAATAATAAATTGATTAAATGGATATAAGATTGGTAATATTATTCATCCTTTAATTAAGTATAAAAAAAATACTGGTAAAGAAGAAGAAGAACAAGAAAAAAGTAAATTGTTTAATCAAATGAAAATAAAAATGAAAAAAAATTGTAATAAAAGGGGCAAAGGAAATTGGATTAAAATCTTTGTCAATCTCCAAACAAACAAGCAAAACAAAAACCAAACAAAAAAAACAAACAAACAAACAAATCCTATAGCATACATTGACATTAATCGTCCTGGTTATGGTGGATGGATGAATGAATCCAAAAAAATACATAGTCAGCTGGCTGGAAAAATTTCATCATCATCATCATTATCGTCATTTCATTCATTTCATCTATTTAATAGTGAAATTTGTCCGAAAAACACGCTTATAATCGACATACATAACAATAACAATTTCATTTCTAACCCAGTAACACCGATCATCAACAAAACAGCGAACAAACAACAACACCAACAAAAAAATCCAACATGTCCAGACGACCAGATTTGATTTGAAAAATTGAGGTTATATCCAAAAAAAAAAATGTTTTTCATTCTTTCCCCTAAATCTATCGATACGTTTACATAACCCAAATATATAATGATTAGATTTATGAGTTGTGTTATTTTTTATTTTATTTTATCTGCATAGATGCCCCCATATGACCATATATCAAAATTAGTTGTGAAAAAAATTGAAAATCAAGTTCATCAATATAAATTTTTATATCAATATCATCATCCAATCTATATTGCAATCAAAAAAAAAACTTAGATCCGGAGAAAAAAATACAATCATTATAATTTAATTTAAAATTGAAAACTTGATTTGATTTGATTTTGAATAAAATATATTTTATATATTGTTTCAACAAATATGAATAGAATTGATTAACATATAGAAAATGGTTTCAAATTTTTTCGAATAAATTCAAAAGAAATTTAAGATCAAAGTTTTGTCGATAATGAAAAAATGTATCGATAATAAATGTTGATGATGATGATGATAATGATTAAATCTAAGTAGATGATAATTATGATTTCGATGCTGTTGGCTGATGATGATCCAAAGTATTTGCCCATTTACGAAATTGTTTAAATTTTTTAACCGGTACATCAAAACCTAATGATTTAATACGTAAATTCATATCGTCTGTGATGAGTATTACATCTCGATAGATAAATTCGTCTATTTGTAATGAAAAATTAAATTTTTTTTTAAATTGTATTGAATTCAAATGGGATTAATGAACAAACCTTGATTTGTTAAATTTTGTTCACCGGCATCCTTCAACAATGTACGCATCCATTTATCATCAATATGATCATCATTACAATGTCGATCTTTTCCAACAAGATTTATGCATCCATATAATATGAGATCATCATTATTGATTGCATCCTATGATCAAAAAAAGAAAAGAAAAGAAATGGATTAATTGCGAAAAAAAATAATCAAAATGATCAATACGAACCAAATTATTATTCGATTCTTCTTTATAATCGATACGATCCAATACAGATCCTTTACTTGTAATGGCTCGAATATTTACCATATTCGAATCAAATGCTTCCTGTAAACTATCAAGTATTTCGGATGATTTTTTAGCCAATTGTTTATGACGCAGATTTATTAATTCTTGTTGTTCATCATTGTTGATAATATCTTCGGATGATAATGTAACATTATTGTTAAGACGTTGTCCACGTGCTATCATTGATTGAAGCTCTTGAACAACTATCAATGGTACAGTTACGATAAATGATGACGGTTGTTTACTATGAACAAATTTCATTATCGATGAAAGATCATTGATAAAACAATTTGTATCGAATACAACATAACGGGGAATAATAATAAAACGACGTTTTGGTTCATGTATATGTTCAATCATACGAAAATAATGACCATGTTTGCGATCATGTTGACAAAACATTCGATATTGTAATAATTTTCGTCGTTCCAATGGATTTAGATTCAAATTATTTATCTCTCGTATTGCTTCTTCATCATTCGAATAATATTCATCATCATCGTCATTATTGTCATTATCTTTGATTTTATCATTATTCTTATCACGATTTATTGCTTCTATTAATTGTCGTTGTTGAATTTGTTTCAATTTAATTCCTGGCTGATTTTCTAAATCATCCGTATTGATTAATGATTCGAATGTAGAAGTTTTTGTATCAAATCGTAGATATGGATGTTGAAGACCGCAAAGATAATCACCAAATAATTTGATACTTTCAATACGCATATAAATGTATGCAATTTCCGATACAAATGGAATACGAACAAATTTAGATGATTCAGGTGTGTCACGAAGTATTCTAAAACCATCTAAACATCTATCTTCAGGTAGTTGAACTAATTCATAATCACCTTGATCAATATCCAATTTTGGTAATGAAAGCGATAAATGTTGTTTACTTTTTTGATCAGAATAAAAAACAACTGGATATTGTTTGATCTGATGTAGTTGTGTAAGAAATTGTGCGAATATTTGCCACACATTTTGATCGATTCTAAATATGAATTTAAATTCAAAATTTCAAAAGTCAAATGATTTACACTCTCACTTACCCAGGTGTTTTAATATCATTCATTTCTTGCGGTGGAAAATATGGATTAAATGATATTATCCAATCAGACCATAGCTTTATGCATGGAAGAAAGGAATAAAAATCATACCATTCTTGTTGAATTTCCATGTTAGAATTCTTTGTAATCAGTGTATGATAAATGGAGCCAAAAAAATCATCAACACATTCCGGTTCATTAGATAATTTTTTCGAAAGTTTTCCTTTTGAGATCAATGGTAATGAATTTATTGATTCTATGAGATCATTATGATGACGATGAAATGTATCAAACAAATTGATCATACGTTTCAATATTATTGATATCATTGTCGACATTACAAAATAAGAATTTGTTTGTGTAAAACCATAACAGGCCGCATCTATTAATGCAATTAAGTGAATAAAATTGATTGATTAAAAAATATTAATTAATTAACTCACTTTGTGATCGATAATCACGTTGATGATCATCCATTGTATTGGCTACACTGTACATATTGATTGTAAATAATTGTATGAGAAAAAAGGGTGATAAACGATTACATTGGTTTTCATTATCCGATCGATTGATAAGTGAATCAAATTCTAATATCATCTGATTGGCAACATCGTAGAATCGATCTAGTCCAACACGATAGTTTAGCATAGCGTGTGCCATCAAAAATGATAATGTAAAACGATCTTTAAGATCTTTAAATTGTGATTTGGCAATTATTGACAATGTTGTCGTCGTCGTCGTCGCCGACGATGATGATTTGATTATAAATTTTTCATAAAATTTATATAGATCAGGTTCGGTTTCATTTCGGCTAACAACAGCAGCAAGATCATAGAAATTATACATATCACATTTGGCAATAGTACGATCTGGTCGTACCCAATATTCAATACGATAATTTTTATTAATACGTATATGACCACGTTCTAAACGTTGTCGTTGTAATTTTTCACGTTCCATTGTTTGATCATATTCCCGACGAATAATCGACATCATTTTCATATGTATAGCTCGTACTGAATCAAAAAATACAAGAAAATTCTGACGATTCGATTGTACACGAATATATTTGGATCGAAAACGATTCGAACATCGATCATGTACAATATCATATTCAAATGATATGATTGAATAATAGATAGCATCAAGATAATTTTTCTGATAAAATGATACTAACGCCAACTGTGAACAGATGTGCGAATTTTTCGGTACCAACATATGAGCTTTCATGTAATAACTATTTTATGGTGAATATATTATGTAATGACAATGAGAATTAAAGAAAAAATTAAAAAAAAAAGATTTACATACTTTTTAGAATTGATAAAATAACCACTAGGATGTGTACTACTTGATGATGATGATGATGATGGAACAATTTCTATATAACGCCATAAATCCCCCAAATAGATGAAAATAATTTTCACCACATAGGTTATATCTTGTAAATGTGAATAAAATGATGTATTCGAATGATATTTATGACGATCATAAAGAGTTTTTAATTGAAATTGATATTTTTCAATTATTCGATGATATAATGTGCCAAAATAATCAAGACCTTCACGTGCTAATGTTGTCATAAGATTTGTATCACGAATTTCTTTATCCATTTCACGTTCATTGCCGCCATTATTTTGACGATATATTCGAATAAAATCATAGAAACAAACTTCCCATGTATTGGGCAATACATTTTGTGTGGTCGAACGATTCAAATCGATCAACAATAAATGCTCACATTTATTCATTATTCGTATACGGATTGCTTGAATATTTGGATCAGTATGACAAAATTTTTGTGATTGTCCATTTCGCCAATTTTGACGGCCACCATAATATCGTAGCCTATCGATAAGATTTCCAAATTCATTGAAATCGATTGACATTTGAGTGACAAGAGTATTGCGTTTATCACGTGGCGATTGATCGATCATTGCTGAATGCTTTTCGATGTCTGAATGATGTGAATATTGTTGTTGTTGTTGATGATGATGAGGATGATGACGATTGTTTTCATTCATTGAATTTCGTTGTAATAATTGATGCATTGTATCACGATTCAATCGTATAATGCCGGCATTTGAACGAGATTTATCATTCATTTTGCCCTGTTCGTTAATAATTTTCGGTGTCATTGTTGGTTTCAATGGTAATAAGATTAGACCTGGTTTTCCTTCGTTTGATGGCCGTTTTATTTCAGATGATGCTGATGATGATGATGTTGATGACGATGATGACGATGGTAATGGTGATGATGATGATGAAGCAGCTGTCGATTGAGATTTAGATTTTTTTTCATTCCAATTTCGTAAAGAATCAATCAGGACTAGATTGTTGATACTTTTGATCAATTCCATACGATTTTCCGATTTTTTTAAATTCGGACACATAGGAAGATCAAATCTTTTGATAACTGATGTTTGATCATTGAGAGAAAGTGTTTGTAAAGTTTTATTGAATTGATTAAAATTTTGTTCATATCGTTCGGATTTTGATCGTCTCCGATCATTTGATTGATTCATAATCTCGACGGAATTTTGACCAGAATCTTCACTATGATGATGATGCTGAGTATTTTTACTAATCTTATAATTAGAATTAGATGATGATGATCCGGTGGTTGTGTTATTTATTTTTCGACCATAATTACCATGCTGATAATAATGATTCACATTATTATTATGACGATTCGATTGTGTTAATCGATTCTGATGATAATATGTTGATCGTTGATGATAATGATGATGATTTTGGCTCAAATAATAACTTGATGGTTGATGATGATTACGTGAACCAGGTGGTCGATATAATTCTTGTGCTGAACGTTGGCTACTATGTCCATGATTTCTTGATGAATTTTGTGATTGACTATAATTATCATTATCAAATGAATGTTGTTGATGATAGATTCGTTTACCCAATGATTCTTCATCATAATGATAATTTCTTGATGAAATTGTTTTTCTTTTATCCATTTTTTTTCGATTGATTATCCGAAATTTTCGACAATAACGATGACAATTTTCAATGTATTGATTTAATTATTTATCTGATCAATACATCGATTAAAATGAAAATTCAAAATTAATCACATGACTTGTTGTATTTAAAAAAAATCATGACTTCATGAAAACAATCCATCAATCCATCTGGAAATGTATTTATTTTTGTTTATTTGTGTTTGTGTGGATCGCTCTTTCTTATGTATTTATTTTATTTTTCTCTATTCGTACATTGTATAGCATACAGTTCGTATATTGTATTTTGTTTGCTCATAAAATACCCCATTATCGTATAGTTCATCATTCTATTGAAATTCGGGCTTCAGCGCGCAACTACAACTATCACCAAAGAAAATGAATTATATAAGAGTGAAATATAAAAAAATGAACACCGAAAATAAAATCTACCATGATGGATCGAAATAGTTATTAAAAATGGTACGAAAAAAAATGTTTTGTATTGTGAATTATTTGAAATAAATAAGTAAACTTTTTTTAATTGTTGATTTCATTATTTAAAATACTGATTAATAAACAATATTTGAGCAATTTTTCAATTACAAACAAAAAAAATCAATCAATGGCCAACTATAATCCAATGATTTAAAATAGTAGAATTGTCAACACTCAAATTACAGAAAGACATGATCACTTTAAAATGATTACCATTATTTTTGGCTGATAAACACATTCCCGATCCATCGTTATAGATTTGAATTGCTTTAGTTTGTTTATCTGTTTTATTTATTTGTGTCATTTTAGGCCATGACCATTTTTGTGTAGATCCCATTTGATGACATTTATTTAAACGTATTGAATCAATTTTGTTTGGTGATCCTGAATCCAGACATCCTTTCATGCCCATACGTAATTCATTAAGATCGGTTTGTTTCCATAGTTGTCTTCGTGATGATTTTGAACATTGTTGCAAATGCAAATGACTTTTTTTATATGAAAGTTCAGATTCCGATTCTAAACATAAATTTGTCGAATTTAAACGTAAACGAAATTTATCCAATATTTTCGGCTGTTTATGAACAAATAGATTTAGATTTTTTTTATCCAATGTATGAATAGAATTCGATGATCGATTTTTAATCTGATCCAAAAGATCGGGATAAACATTGTGAAGATACCAATCGAATGATTTACAATTAAGTCGTTTCCGAAGTTCAATTCGATCATCAATATCTCCATATGACATTGTTGCTAGATCTGAACGACTTTTCAAAAAGTATTTCTACAAAATAGAATGAAAAAAACTAACATTTTCGAAAAAATTTTAAGATGGAAAACAAACCACCTTATAATCATCAAGCCAAACATGTGCTACACGTAATGAATTATAGGCCAATGTATCCTGACCATCAGGTGAATCATATGGACGTCGTTTACGAAATATATGTCCAACACGTGAACAAGGAATGATTTCCAATCTTCCACCACACATCCAAATCTTTTTTTTGAAAAAAAAGTTTTGAGGTTTAAAAAATAAATAAATAAATTTCAACAAAATGCTTACCCGTAATGAAAATTCAATGTTTTCAGCACCCCATATATTCATTCCTGAATCATAGGTACCAAGTTTTTGAAAATATTGGCGATCTATTGCAAATAATCCACCGGCCATTGCAGGTGATCTAAAATTATTGATTGATCGTAAATAATTGAAATTTGAATTTTTTTAAAAAAACATTGATCTTACTTGATAGGTTTAACAAAATCTTCTTTGGTCAACAATTCATCGCTTGGAATGGAATCCCATTTAAAATGTAAGGCCCAATTAAAACCACCGCGTACCATCGGTGATGGTTTATAGAAAAAAGTATCTGGATCAATCAGATCAATTATTGGACAAACAACTAATGATCGATCATATGATAATCGTTCAAGTATGGGTGATAACCATCCAACATTTACTTCACAATGACTATCCAAAAAGAACAAAACAGAACCACGAGCAAATTGTACAGCATAATTACGTGCACGAATTAGGCCAGAACGTTCAGGTATACGAATATATCGAATTTTATGTCGAAAATCATCAAGAAAATCGATAGAATTATTATTTCGATATTCTTCAAATTTAGAATGCACATTATCTATACAATGAAAATAAAAGTTTATTATACTACCGAAAAAAAATCGAATGAAGAATTCAACTGACTTTCACTGGAATCATCAATGAGAAGAATTTCAGCCAACAAGTTCGATGGTGTACGAGCAAGAATACTATTTACGGTACGTATTAATGTAAAAAATTCTTCATTGAAAAAGCAAATTATCACAGTCGTATTCAATGTGTTAGTTATATTCATGTCAATATTTTTATCAATGGATTGGCGACAATGTTCATGTCGAGTATCTGGCAAATGTTGACGATGATAACCAAGTCGTTCACTGACTAATGCATTGAATGCATATAAAGAAAAACCGGATTCTTTTTTCGCACGATCTTGATCATCATTAATCATACCAAGACGTGATTCATTTGTTTCATGAACAATTTGCACATAATTTTGTAAATAAAATGAATTTGGTTGAATATCTTTAGCATTTCCATGATTCATTATCAGGTAATTATTATGATTTTCAAACCAGAATAATGAAAAGCAAATCAATGATGACATTATAGCTAAAACTATAATTGTAATGATAAATAGATTACAGCCATCACAGAAACAACAATTACAAAGAATCGATTGGCCATCAATCGATCGATTTAATAATATATAATGCCGATAACGTTTACCATAACGAAGGCAACGATTACGTAATGCATAGCTCGATATATTCATCGTCGTTGTGTACGTTGATTATTTACATATTTAATAATTGAAAAAAATAACTACGTTAACGTTCTAACAAGGATTGTTTATTTCGATGTCCACGCGGACTACCCGATGAATATAATGAGTATACTTTTTGTTCGATTGTATATGAATGATGCGCTCGTAATTTTCGAGAAACATGTGTGATTTTTTCTGTTCACTTTTTACGAGTGTTTGCTGTTTAACAAAACGCAAAAGACAATGTATTTGCGACAATTTTTTCGAATTCAATTAATCAATCAATTAGCTAGTCGTTTACGTTTGCGTTGTATCGATCCACCAGTTAAGCCATTCCTTAGTCAAACATCTCAAAGTTGTCATGGGTCTATCAATAATCAAAATTATCGTACACTTTTTGCCATTCATAGTCTATCAATGCCCATTGATGACCATATTGTGGAGCTAAATTCATCAGTTTATTCAATACAACGACGATATAAGAAAAAGAAAGCTGGTAAACAACCACAACGACCTTCGAAACACGATGAAGAAGATGATGATGACAAAGACGATAGCGATTCTGATCAAGATGAACAAATGGATGAATCGGATTTAGATTCACGTGTGATTAATACAACCGTAATGTCATGGCGTTTGGATGCCGTTGGTAAAACATGTTTCAATATGCCTAGAGCTAAATTCGAAGAAGGTTTCTATAATGTGAGTAAATACATTTAATTTATTTATTATTAAATCATACAAAATTAATGGATTAATTTTCAAAAAAAAATATATAAAAATTAGGATCTTATCCGTGTGAATGGTGAACGTGCAGGAAAAAAAAGTTATGAAGTACGAGAAGGAGATGAAATCGATATGATACGTGGTTTTAATATCGAACAACGTGACCGATTGGATGTAAATCGTGTAAACATAATAAAATTGGATGATAAAGCAGCAAGTGGTGGCCGTTATCGTATTTCATTTCGTAAAACAAATAAACTTACTATAGATAATTATGAACGTGATCCATATGAAGGTTTATTGTTTAGTACATAATGATAATTATAATAATAAACTTGCTTAAATATTTTTGGAATTCATATGTTAAATGTTAATAAACGATTGATTGATTAAGATAACCAAATTTTTTTTCCTATTTTGTTTTGTTTTGTTTGGTCGATGTTCGTATTTCCGGTTGTGTAAAAAATCAATCAATCATTTAAGGTTAAGTATATATATTATCAATCAAAATGATAAAAATGTCCGAGTTTTTTTTCTTGTTGTTGTTCATATACAATATAACTAATACTGTTATCATTGACTGGATCTTGACATTTCAATGATTGATTATTGTTTAGATTTTTTTTTTGTTTGAGAAAAAATGGCTTTTATCTCATATTGGCTAAGCATCATTATATCAACAACAACAAAAAAAATTGAAGAATCGATAATAATAATAATAATTTTGATTACACCATTATCATTATTTGATGTAAGAATATTTCGATCCGATAAATTCATTCTTGCTATATTCACGTGTAATATGTGCAACAATTGTAATGCAATATACGAAAATTTATTATTGTGAAAAGTAAGCAAACGAAAAAAAATGCAATGAAAAAACGACCATATAAAATGCAAGCGCAATAGCATAAAATTGGTTTGAAACAGTGAAAAAAAAATTATGAATGAAATTTCCAAAATACAATCCATATAAACAAAAAAAAGGGATTCAGTCTACACACATCACATACATAAAAAAAACTAACCAATGAAATGGATTGCTATTTGGAATTGAGAACCTTTTCAAAACGTAAATGTCAGTCCTGCGTATTTGGAAAACGAAACTTTTCTTTCTGTTCAATTCAAAAAATTCAACGCAACAGCAAAAGAATCCAGCAAACATTTTGAGTGTATGGAACCAGATAAAGACAAAAAAAAATGAAGAAGAAAAAGAAAAGAACCATAGAAAAACTTTTAAACAAAGATACCGTGACAGGACAATAAAGATCTTTTTTTATACTGTAACTATAGAATAAAAGAGAGAAAAAAAAGATCGTCATATTCTCTAGATCAGTCAACCACAGTTCAATTCTGACAGTTAGTCATTCGAATTGTTTCAGTTTTGGTTTTGGTTTTGATCAAACCGGCATTATTTTATTTTTTCACTTATAATCCCGATGTGTGTGTGTATGTGTCGTTCGGTAATAGAAATTTTTTTTTATGATTGGAAAAAAATAATGTTCTCCAACATCAATTGTTGATTCGCGTTTGTGTGTATGTTTGAATTAAAATCCTGTATTCAGCATAAGGAGTCTAATTTATCATTCAAAAAAATTATTCAATTTTCAAATCAAATCGATTTTCATTAATTAATCAAGGTTTGTAAATATGATTTTCTTTTTTTTTACTTTTATACAAATATTATTGATTAATGATTGATTTTCTTCAAATCAATATTTTTATTGCTTTTTGCAATCATTACTAACTGATATTAGAAATGTTTCAGTTGTTTGTTTATCTTATTTCATATTAATACTGTAATCAATTGAATTGTCAATTTTGTTATTTCCTCTGGAGAACTTTGTACACACTTAATTATTAATAGATCGATTTTGTTTCTAAATATCTTAATCACAAAAAAAATAAAGATTCCATTGATGAAAATGATAAACAAGGATTTAATTCGGTTGTTTTTCTTCGTTTTCTTTTTTCATTCAACAAAAAGCAATTCTTAGTTCCAAAAAAAATAAAACAATTTTTGTTTTCATTGAAAAAATAAAAAACCGGAAATTGTTTCCTAACAAAAATATTCATAAGTGTTATTAGATTGATAAAATGTTTACCATTTTTTTTTCTTACGTAAAAAACAAAATGTAAATTATTTCAATTACTAAATCTTTTTCATTATCATTTTCACATTCATTTTATTTGAATATAACATTGATATTGACATTTACTTTTCCTCAGTTTATTTACAGTTATTCAATGATTAAGAATATTTTATTTTCAAAATAATAATAATAATAATAATAAAGATGTTCAAATCGTTTCATTATCATGAT